CCCCCCATTAAGGTCAGCGCCTGATCCTACGTGGCATTACACATAATGACAATCTCAGTTTTGTTGAAGAGTTCGAAAAAAAAAAAAGGGAGGGTTCGATCCCCCCCCCCTTGAGGCCAGCGACCGACCCTACGTGGCATTACACATAATGACAATCTCATTTTTGTTGAAAAGTTCGAAAAAAAAAAAGGGGGAGGGTTCGATCCCCTTCCGCTAAGGGCAGCGCCTGATCCTACGTGGCATTACACATAATCACGATCTCATTTTTGTTAAAAAGTTCGAAAAATAAAAAGGGGGAGGGTTCGATCCCCCCCCCCCTTAAGGCCAGCGACCGATTCTACGTGGCATTAGACATAATGACAGCGACCGATCCTACGTGGCATTACACATAATGACAATCTCATTTTTGTTGAAAAGTTCGAAAAAAAAAAGGGGGAGGGTTCGATCCTCTTCCGCTAAGGCCAGCGCCTGATCCTACGTGGCATTACACATAATGACACTCTCATTTTTGTTGAAAAGTTCGAAAAAAAAAAAGGGGGAGGTTTCGATCCCCTTCCGCTAAGGCCAGCGCCTGATCCTTCGTGGCATTACACATAATGACAATCTTATTTTTGTTGAAAAGTTCGAAAAAAAAAAAGAGGGAGGGTTCGATCCTCTTCTGCTAAGGTCAGCGCCTGATCCTACGTGGCATTAAACATAATGACAATCCCATTTTTGTTGAAAAGTTCGGAAAAAAAATGGGGGTTCGATCCCCCCCCATTAAGGGCAGCGACCGATCCTACGCGGCATTACACATAATCACGATCTCATTTTTGTTGAAAAGTTCGAAAAAAAAAAAGGGGGAGGGTTCGATCCCCCCCCCATTAAGGCCAGCGCCTGATTCTAAGTGGCATTACACGTAATGACAATCTCATTTTCGTTGAAAAGTTCAAAAAAAAAAAGGGGGAAGTTCGATCCCCCCCCATTGAGGCCAGCGCCTGATCCTATGTGGCATTACACATAATGACAATCTCAGTTTGGTTGAAAAGTTCGGGAAAAAAAAAGGGGGAGGGTTCGATCCCCCCCATTAAGGCCAGCGACCGATCCTACGTGGCATTACACATAATCACGATCTCATTTTTGTTGAAAAGTTGGGAAAAAAAAAGGGGGAGGGTTCGATCCGCCCCCCTTAAGGCCAGCGACCGATCCTACGTGGCATCACACATAATGA